ATATTGTGAAAATCTCCTTTAAATCTGTCCAAATTAAGTTCTTAGCAATGCATATTACTAATCAAAAATTAAGTTTTGATATATTTACAGTAGGAAATTTACAAAATATCTTCATGGAACATGATGTTTACTTAATATCCTAATGATTTTTGGCATAAAAGAAAAATTGATAATTTTGACCCGTACCATGTATTTTTGGCTATTGCTACAAATATACCCCAGCGACTTAAGACTGCTTTTGTGCGCCAGGGTCACATATAAAGATATATAGTAGACATAATTACTATAGAAACTTAGAAACTATCTTATATGGGATGGGTAAATATGTGCAAACACACACCTCGGACATGATTAAATTACTTGAAAAAGAACTAAATCACAAATTTTGATGAAATGTTACGGCTGGAATTAGTCATGAATCTGTTTATAGTGATAATCGTATATTCATGAAAGCCTTTCATAAAAGCAGCCAAACGACTGAAGGGTCTGTTCTATGATATCGAATTGACTCGTTATGAATTTACAAAGTTGCCGTTGAACTGTATTCTGAAGGGTAAGTTGGGTTGTCAAACCTTCCCCTAAACAGTAAACACCATTCTTAAATAATGTGGTCAGTTAAACAGCTCAGTGGGGTTTCTTCACAGAGGCTAATTGCTATCCTTGTCAACTATGTTTAGAGGACGATTGAATCAAGCAACAGTCAGACCTTAAATAATGGGTTGAGAATGGCTCCATCTAGAGGTGGATATGTGGCATCACATCGGTGAGAAACACCTGTAGTAGCAGAAATATTACCTAAAAATGAGTGCTTATATGTAACAAGGCTGCAGAAACCATTCGGGATAGCAGTTGGAAAGTTATGGACATTTTGGACTAAGTCATTAGAAAAATCAATCAAACCTTCGTTAAGCAGTCGTAATTTTGCTTTAGTTCAGACATTGGAAATTTTCTCTGTTTACAATGAAATAATAAATGGGTGTTAATGGAGGGCTACTGATCAGCCAGCGTATTATCTTATTTCTCTTTGTGACAATATATTGACCTTAGAAAGATCAAACTAATCAAACCATTCAACTAAAAAGATGTTTGCTTTAACATACTAGCTTTATCATAACTTGTTTGTTAGTTAAGCAGGCCTACAGCATGGCAGAAACTTTATAGGTCTATGATAGGCTATACAGACATATTAAATTGATGCAGTTCTCTACAGTTTTATTCAGATAGCTGTGAAATGGATAGCCACGCACATAAGAAAGGACATCATGTTACAAGTTACATTTTCACACTGAATGACTCGAGTTTTGTAATATAACTAATATTTGCATTCATATGCTCATTTTCTGTTACTAATGTGTAACGCTTACCAGGGAGCAAAGGGGGGATTGGGTCTGTTTGATTGTATTATTAGTAATAGCCTATTCAATTCTTTCCCTTATGTTTGTGAAGTTGTTTCTTCTGTGTGTCTTGTGTCAAACCTGCAAGTGCCTGTGGTAGATGTGAAGTTATCTGCAAGGGAACTTACATCACAAACGCTGAGGTGAGTTTTGGTTTTCATTTGCCTGTTGGCTCTGTGGTCTGTCTATATTGATACACATATTCTATTTAAGTGGACAAAGCCGTATGCAAATGTTCATTAACATGCAAAAACACAATCATCCAGTCGACCACTGAGGCACTGGAGGAATCTTAGAGAGATTTGCATGAAAGCAACGCAGCCCTCCTTACGCAAATGATAAACGATGGATTACTGAGGTCGTCCTTAACTAACTCTGAAGACGTTGATCGTTTTCTTCCCTTTTAAGTTTGTTTTTTGCAACTTTTCAAATGTATTTTACGTAGCCTATAGACTTTATTGTTTGTACTCTTGTCCTAGAAATAGGCTACACTTTAAATCTCGGTCAATGAAATCCATTACAAAAAAGTTATATATTGCATTTTACAAACTATGATGATCTAGTCAAAAGGGAAACGGGATCCATTTCATTCAACTTTTATTATATTTTATTATTGTATTTATTATATTGTATTTTTTAATTTTGACTTTCCCAGAGTTTTTGCCCCAAGCAATTTTAACACTTAACCTTAACTTAACCTACTTAAGAATGTAGAAATAAGCAGAATATTTTTTTTATTTTGCACCACATAATTAAGTTATGTAAAAAGCATTAAAATATTATTTAATGTTATTAAATTTCAATATTGTGCATATTGCATATGTAAAAAACAAAGAATTTATTCCTCGCAGAATGTTTATGACTGTCAAAAAAACAACAAAAATTACAGAATTATCTTGTGATATTATATTTATATATATATATACTGGCGTTCAAAAGGTTGGGATCAGTAAGACTTGTACTGTTTTTTAAAGAAGTCTCTTCTGCTCATCAAGACTGCATTTATTTGATCAAAAATACAGAAAAAAAACAGTAATCTTGCAAAATATTATTACAATATAAAATAATGGTTTCTATTTTAATATCCTTTAAAATATAAGTTATTTCTGTGATGCAAAGCTGAATTTCCATCAGCCATTACTCCAGTAAAAAGTATATATATATACAGTATATATAAGCAGCACAACAGTTTCTAGCTCTGATAATAAATCAGCATATTATACTGATTTCTGAAGATCACGTGACACTGAAGACTGCAGTAATGATGCTGAAAATACAGCTTTGATTCACAGAAATAAATTACAGTTTAATATATATTAAAATAGAAAAACGTTATTTTACATCATAATAATATTTCACAATATTATTATTTTTCCTGTATTTTAAATAAAATAAATGCAGCCTTGATGAGCATAAGAAACTCCTGTAAAACAGTATATGCTGATTTATGATTAGAATTATCAACAGTTGTGCTGCCAAATATATTTTTGGAAACTGCCACACTTTTTTTTTTCAGGATTATTTGATGAATAAAAAGTTAAAAAGAACAGCATTATTTTAAATAAAATAAATGCAGCCTTGATGAGCATAAGAAACTCCTGTAAAAAAACATTGAAAATCTTTCTGATCCCAAACTTTTGACCGGTTGTGTGTATGTGTGTATATATATATATATATATATATACACATACATATACAGTGAAGCATACAGAGAGAGAGAGAGAGCGCGAGGGAATGAAGCAGGGCGTTCGTGTTCTCTCTATCAAAGCGTCGCGTTAAGGTTCTCCCGCTCGCGCATGCCGCATCCAGCACAGCACCAACGGGAACAGCGTTGCTCTCCCGTCAGGAACCGACGCGCGTCTATCATAGAGTAAATCGTTAGGTTCGGGTGAATTATTTTGTCGAAGCAGCGAGGCCTGTGCTGTTTTTCGCCGTGTGTCTGTCTCTATTGTATGCAGCAGCAGCAGCAGAATCCACGACAGCCGCATCTTCCATTGATCTGTTGATATCTGCTGGGATCTTCTGCATCTGTCCTCTGCTACCATCACAACATCTGGCCGTGCTCGCCCGCTCCTCTCTTCCATATTAACCCTAATATCCTGTTTTGACGAGGACATTTGTTCCTGTCGTACACATGGTGAATGTAGATGCCAAACAGTGTTTTTAATCGTCGTGTAGCTATATTTGTGATTTATTCATCGGCCATCGCTCGGCGCAGACCGTGGGTTTAGTCACGGACATCCACGATGGGCTTCTGCGCTAAATGTCGCAGATGTTGGTGATTATCGGTGCCATTTATTACGGATTTAACGCGTGCGCGGGGAGGGATTTTGCGTTCGCTGCAAACGATCGACGCATTTATTTTTGCCTGAACTCGATTTTTCCTTTTTAGTAATATGATTATTAGCAGAAGAGGATCACCCTCAGCTCATCGTCTCATTGCAATACCCTTGACGATCAACAGTTCATCGCGTAAATGCCTCTAAACCCGCGCGATTATTAGTCGGAGCGCGCGACGTCGAGTCGCAGATCTTCGCTTGCGCTCATAATGACTAATAAACCAAAACGATTGTCGTCTTCACTCATGGATGCTCTTAATGTTGTATGTTGATTTGTCTTATCGACAGGGTCAGGAGACTGTATTCATATTGGATTATAGCATTGCCCGTGTTTATTATTCCTCCTGCGTGTTTGTGACTGAAGACGCTCCATATAGGGTGGATTATTCCCGCTTTTGAATATCATGTTTTTGGCCCTTTTATCGTCTGGAAAGATGGCAGCTGATTAAATTTTAATCTTGATGCATTCTGGCGACACGGGAGGAGAAGAGGAGAAGCGAGTGAATCGGGGAGGAGAGGGCGAGGAGATGTAGGGTGGATACAGAAGGTAAGAATGAATGAATGAAGGAACAGTGTGTGTTCAGTTCAGTCCTAAACACGTCGATACACACCGTCTACACACATCATTTCATTATACACGTTTACTTAAGTGAGCACAATTCTATCTAGTATTTTGGAATTTACAGAATGGGGTGAGTTAAGGTAAATTGGGACACTTGAGATGACCAAATGGCCCAGTTATTCTGAATGTACACTATGTATACAGCCTATATTTATGTATTTGTAATTTTATATATGACTCGTATTTCCAATTAAGAACCGAATGCCACCCAAAATAAATGTTATTTTTGGCTTACATCTGAGGACATGCACATATAGAATATACACGCCATTGTGCATGCACATATCACTGTATGCACACACACACACACATAAGCGCACATTCTTCATGCACAGACCTATATATCATACATGCGCGCGCACACACACACACACACACACATTGTGGTCATTTTTCATTGCATGTAAATTGAGTTACAGGCCAAAGGCGAGCCGAACGCTGCGGCGCGTGAGTGGTGTGTAAATGCGCTGGCGCCACTGACTGCTGGTGCATTCTGACAGACCTCCCTCTCTCCATCTCTCCCCACCCAACATCTCCTCCATCTCCCGCACACGCCGTATCTTTCTCCTGAGCGATGCATGAGCCCCAACTAGTGCATTTGGATACGCTTTGAGTGAGCTAAATCTGGAAAAACTGTCCTCTTTGGGAAAATTATTCATAAATAAAACAATGTTTTCATGTTTTATTCTAAACATGGTGAACGTTTTCTTTTAGGGTTTGTGGTATTTTGTCTATATTAGTAAGTCTATGGTATGCTGTATTTTCCCATTTAGAGAGATAAGTGTGTGTTCGGAGTTACTGACTTACATTTTGAGGATAAATATGTCTACAGAAGTGAGCTGAGTCTGACAAAACCGGGACATCATCGCTTGGTGAAAAATATGTTCATATTTATTTAGGTTTGATTTTAGACCATATTAGAACAATACAAGTCCTCGTTTGAAGTTAAGTGAATGTGCATGTGTGACTGTGTTTTACAGGCGGATATATGGAGACGAGAGCGTGTGTTTATAAAGGAGCTCGTAATGATCTTGTGAAGACTCACGGGTGGTTGAGCGAGCAAAGACTCAAATGCAAAGACATGCAAAAACACTGGTTACTAGTCAAAGCAAGTGGATGAAGAGCAGAAAATAATCTCGTATGTCACTTCTGTCGTTGGCTTATTGGTATCACAGTATATCTATAGATTCTGCCTGTGATGAAGAGATTCGTGCAGCTGTAGAATAAACTCAGACGTTTAGTCATTAATAGATAAATACATAGCAACAGACCAATTGACCCCTGAGCTGGTGGCCATTCATTTATCTATACGTTTGTGCTTGTATTTATAGCGTTAGATAAATAGGCATTATTTGTGTATCCTTCTTGCTTTGCCGTCTCAGCAGTTTTGAGTCCCTGTTGTTAAAAATACTTTCTCTTGCCCCAGTGTAGTGTGCAGAATCCGAAGCCATCTGTAAGCTGATTTCCGTGAGATTCGCTGTCGTTCTGCTGCACTTTCAGAGCATTAGTGCTTGGGAAACCTGTTTGAGAACACTCATTATTTTTGCAGTTTTTTGGTGTTGCTTGAGGTGCAGAAACTGTGCAGTGGTTTAAATGTGTGTTCGATCTCTTAAGCCCTCATTATTTGGTCTGTTTTCTTAGGGACAATCACATTAGATTGTCTGCTAAACATCTTAAATGTCACTCAGCCAGTCTGGAAAGTAATTTAGTCCTGAGTTACACAATCAAATTAAAACAGTGAAGAGCTGAAATAGGAGAATAATTATGTAGTCTGTTACCAATAGTGGTTGACAAAAATGGGTCTTTGTTAGAATAACTTATTTGCAGCGTTGCAATGTAAGTACTTGGGTTTTTTTTTGCTTGGCCAGATTTTTCTATGATTTAATGCTTTTCTGTGTCTTAAGCGGAAGCCTTATGTTGGTGTATTTATTTATTTGGTAAGTAGCTGTGATATAAATGAGTCAGCCAGTCATTATTAAAAATAAACCCCTTTACCTCTGACTGGATACTAGACCTGATCCATCTGTTGGTGTTTATTTTGCTTTAATAATCAGTATTTGTATTGTTTTTAATGCATTTTATGCATTTGCTTCACTATCTGGTCCAGATTGTCAATTTAAAGACAAGTTAATGTAAAATACTCATATTTAGACAGAGTTTAGTTTTGTCTACAGAGCTGCTGTTAATGCATTTTTAAGCAAAAGTCTTTAGTACGAAAGATTTTACAATTATGAGACACATAAATTCAGTCAAGTGTGTCTGAACTCACAGTTCATAATATGCATAGCCTTGATATAATGCAATTTCAGACATAAATGCACATGACATCTTTTAAATTGAATGATTTTTGAAAAATGTATTATATAGTTGCATGCTAGCAGTAGATTTTGTTTATCAGTCACAGACTGGCTGCTAATCTAAATATGACCAGGTGTATAGTCTACCATTAATCTTTTTATGCTGCTTTTCGGCTTCATTAGCAAAAGGCAACATGAACATGATGACTGTGATGTATTTTTGGTGAAGCGTGCATGTGAGAAAATCAAAATATATGATATTTTCTTCTTATTTGACTTCATCTGTGGCTTCTGTAGCTTCACGTTGACTTTCAGACGGACTGCAGCGGTGTTTTCCTGATCTGGTGTGAGTGAGTGTTGTGTGCAGCGCTGGTGAGAGTGGTGTGTTTGTTTATGTCTCTAACACAGAGGGTGAATTATAGCAATTACTCCAGGCTTGTTATTACACTGGTGCTTCGGGAAGCTCTCCAGATGAAGCTCTGCTCTGGTGTTTGATTCTCGGCGCTCCACAAACGTAGGTTTTGATCACGACAGTGAATTCGTGTGTGCTGACAGACGAGGATGGCAATATTTGGCTGGATGTGGTCCACGTTTATCTCACAGCACGCTTTCATCAACCGCTTCTGTTATCCATGAAAGTGCAGCACAGCCGGACTTTAATTAGACTTTGACATTTAATTACACCTGGAGGCAAATTCATCTTTAATAGTCACTGAATAACGGTTGTGTCTCATGAATGTTTTCACAGATACATATACTGTGTTCATACACAATAATCTTTCATTTTTACTGATATCGATTAAACCTTAATTGAGTTATACCACATCAAAATGTATTCTGCTTGAGGATAGATCCTGAACAGAGAAGATATGGTATGTTTTTCTATGTAGAACATACAATAATTAACAATAATAATTTCTGACAGCAAAAATGAAATTTGTCATTATTTATGAAGTGTGTGCATACAGTGTGGTAAATGCATGATGCATTTCATATATGTGAATATATGAAACTGCATCAGGGTTAACTAAAACTAAAACCAAAGAGAAACACGTTAGTTGCTTAAATAAAATATAAAAAATGAAAACTTTTAAACATTTCTCGTTTTCATTTAGTTTACCCTGATGTAAAAAAGACTAAAAACCAAAGTTAAAAAAACAAAAACTATATAGACATTTTTTTCTGTTATTTTTAATAACAATGACAAAAATACAAAACAATTTACAAAAACTTTTAACTAAAATTAAAAAGAAAAACTACAATAGTACCTCAATGATGCTAAAATAACACTGCACTGAATGTCCCATAATAGTGACCACTAATTTTAATAATAATTGTTCATAATAATGTGTTTTTCATTTGTGTGTGTGTGTGTGTGTGTGTGTGTGTGTAAGGGTGTGTCACTCTCCAGTGTTTTTGCCGGTACTAAATTAGAAGGTGTTATTTGCGTAAGTCACTGGGCCATTAGGGATCGTGTGTGTGAGTGTGTCTGTGTGTGTGTGTGTGTGTGTGAGAGAGAGAGTCTATTTATCCCAAACTTTTTAATGGTAATGCATGGCTTTCGCAAAAATATAAAGCAGGAAAAACTGTTTTTAACACTGATAATAATAATAATGATTTTTCACAGTATCAGTGTTTTTACTTTATGTTTGATCAAATAAATGCAGTCTGTGTGTGTGTGTGTGAGAGAGAGTCTGTGTGTGAGTGAGTGAGTGAGTGTGTGTGTTAGAGAGTGAGTGAGTGAGTGTGTGTGAGAGAGAGAGAGAGGGAGTGTGTGTGTGTGTGTGTGTGTGT